GCTTATTAACTAGAAGGAATTTATTTAAAAGATACTGGGCTGTTTACAGAATCACAAGGAGGCCAAGTTTCCAGGAATAATGGCCAGAACCATTGCACAGAACTGACCCGGTGAGAAGTCTGTCTCCGCTGCCCACAGGCACTCAGTGCACCGGTTTCTGCGGCCACCGCGCCGACCCATAGCTCCACCTCACTGCAGCTGCGGCCTCCCTCATCCCGTACTCTTTGAAGGGCATCTCTGTGTGTAGCCCACACTTCTGAGCGGGTAGCTAGACTCCCCTACTGCAGGATGGAGCATCTATGTAATCATTTGGAAGTCTTCTGCATAGGAGATTCGTATCTTCTCCCCCATTTATTTTATTTATTCAATCATTCTATCAGTATAGATTCATGGATAATTATGTTACACTTTAGATATAAATTCTAAATCCTTGGGTATATCATCTAAAACTGCTTTTCTATTTTGTTGCTCAGATGGCTCCAGCTTGGGCTGCAGGGAGCTTTTTCATTTGGCTCCTGTGCTTTTTGATATCAGTGGCCCTTTTTCTTTCTCATCACTTCCTGACTTTCTGACACAGCAAAAGATGACTCATGCTCATCTTGTATATTTCCTGCCCCAGCAATGCCCAGGGAACCCTGGTGCCATTTATTGGTATTGCAGGATGATGAGAAACTAAGATCTCTCGTTTTATAATCTGTCCTAGGACTGAAGTGATTGACAGTAGTGACATCCAATCATAGCTCTATATTTAGTTTTAGGGCTTAAAAGACAGATACTTATCTCTTCTTTAGGAGAAACGTTAAAACAGCAAGCTGTCACCATTTGGAGGCATAAGAAGATTTCCTACTGGGACTCAGTAGTTATTTCATGTTCCTCGTGTTGCAATAATGCAAAATTGATCTTTGCGAGAAAGACACTCAACAGTTCTTGGTAAGAATTGCTTCAGAACAACAGTTAATAGTCACAGCTTTCTACTATCATTTTCGTTCTGAGAAAGGTAAAAAATGCCATTCCCTGTAAGGTAATTGATAATGGACTAGTCATAAAGGGAATTTGGGCAGGAGTCCCCTGCATACGTACAATCTAACTTTCTACTATCATTTTCGTTCTGAGAAAGGTAAAAAATGCCATTCCCTGTAAGGTAATTGATAATGGACTAGTCATAAAGGGAATTTGGGCAGGAGTCCCCTGCATACGTACAATCTAGCAGATCTCTGCAGGGGACCCTTCCTATGCTGTTCCAGAAGACCTTGCTGGGAGAGATGGAAGTAGGGGGCAGTCCGGGGGCCGGGAGGCACAGTGGTACAGCATTCACAGAGAGAGGATGGTGTGGGGTGGGGGAAGCCAGGGGGGGAGCAGGGAATGTTTGGTAAAATAACTGCATGCATGAAAGACGGGCATGGAGGGTTCTTTTCACATAAACCTGTAAACATGCTGCCAGGATGAAGCTGCTTCACAGTGTCGTGCTGGGGTCTGCAGGAGGAGTGGCGGGATGCCCCCTCATCTCTAAAGGTGCAGGTCATGTTTCAAATGCCCAGGTTCTGGGGCCCCCATGGCCTGCCTGAGTCCAGTGTGTTCCCTGACTGGAGGAAAAGAGACGAACTGAAAGAAAGCTGGTCCCAGGAGGTAGCTTGGCAGCAGGAAGGGGATGCGGGAGACGTAATGACGAGGGGACAAAGTTGCAGTGATGAGGACGAGGGGCAAAAGGGACGAGCTGGCCTGGGAGGGAGTGTGCCAAGCAGCTCCTGGAAGAGTCCGACCTGGGCTGAACGTGTGGGTGAATCCAGGAGAGCCCCGCCGTGTCAGTGTGGGGCCGCCTGGCATGTGCCCCTTTGGCCCTTGTGACCGATCCTCCTATGAACATCCCCGCTTGACGTTTGTGTGGACATATGCTTTCATTTCCCTTGGATACACCTCAGAGTGGAAGTACTAGGTCATAATAATCCTATTTTCAAATTACTGAGGACGATTCCTATATTTTTTAATACACTTCAGGTTTAATTCTGGGTGTGAAAGTCTGACTGGTAAAGCCAAGGGGTTGTGCCCTGGGGTGGGGGGCTGGCAGTGCCCCAGGCCTGCAGGGCCTGCTGCTCTCCAGCCCAGCCCTCTATGGGCATGTCCCCAGGGCAAGAAGACAGCTGTGAGGGTGGCCAGCTGCTCCCTGGGCCTCAGGGCAGAGGCGTGGACTCCAGGAGGCTGTTTTATATCCAGCTGTGTACAAGGTCCACTTGTATTTAGTATCTTTTAACTTTGTTGATTTCAATGGAAGCTGCTTCATGTTTTGAAGAAGATGAGGTTTAAACTGGCATCAAAAAACTCTTTGTGAGTAAAGTAAAAATTCCTTTCCAAAAAAGTGATACTAGACCCTTAGGAGAGGAAAAAAATTGAAAACATCTATCACAGCAGCTTCCAGGCTATTTTTCTATATGAAATTTAATATAGATAATAAGCCTGCTGCATTAGTCAGGTCGGGATGAGCACGGTGAGTGAGACACGACTGAGCCTTTCATCACCCGTTGGGGAGGTGGCCTGGGCACATGCTAAGGCACGCGGCATCCATTTTCTCCATAGAAGAGCAGAGTTTCTAGAAACATACGGGCAGAGAAACTAGCTCAGGCCTCACCCCTGCTGCTTTAATTATACACTTACTAGTGGCTGACAGAGGCCCCCTGAGTCCACACTCCTGCTGACTCCCACCGGAGTCGTGCCAGGCTCTCTGTCCACACGGCAGCTGCTGCTGCTCATGGTGGGTGGGGGCTGAGGGGCAGGGGCTCAGCTGCTGGCATTTCCGTGACCAGAGCAGGCCATGGTTTTTCATGGAATTTCCTAGTAAGGATAGCTGTAAAGGCAGAGAAGCACCTATTGTGTTCGTAGGTTCAGGGCTGATTTCTGCTCATGAGACTACATTTTACTTATCACCAGGTGACCCCTGGGATGGACAGATGGGTGCAAAGCAGAGCGTTGCAGAAGTTGCACTGACTGAGGCTGGGCAGGGCTCCTGCCCAGGAGGCACATGTACCCATGGCTTGGAGGGCATGCTGACACAAGGCTCCTTCCCTGAGCCCAGTTATTTCAGATATTCGAGTCCGGTTCCAGTGAAACCCACATTGGTATTCCTCAGCCACAGCGATTCAAGAGGTGGTTTGAATTTAAGAAGTAAATTTTCAAATCATGTCTTCAACCAAAAGGCCCACTTGTCTTCTTCTGCATGTACCAACTACTAGAGAATCGTAATGAAGTATTAGTGAGTTAAGTGCAGAGATACACTGTAAACATGATTGCTGTGAAAATGCATAATAAAGCAGTAGACCTCAAATATTGTGCATTATCACCTGGGGAACTTGCTAAAACTATCTCAGGCTTCATCCAAACACCCCAAATCAGAATCTGTCCGAGAAGTCAACAAACAGGGTTGTCATGTCCCATTGTGAAGTTTGTGCATTGTGCAAAGGCACCTGGCTGGGGAGACGAATAGGGACCGAAATCTAGGCTGTGCTCAGCTTGCCCACCATGTGCCCTGGCTCAGGGCTGAGTCAACCAGAAGAAGGGACATTTCTGGAGATTTGTAACACATACGAAGATTTTGTGTGTGCTGACACCTCACACAGGATTGTGTTTAAAAAAAAAACAACTACCCAACTAATTTGGAATATAACTAGGTTTGGGCACCTTTTGGGCTATAGAGCATACTCAAATTAATTGGACTAGTTAGAAAAGGACATTTGGGGGACATTCTGATAGGTGGATAAATAGATGATAGATGGACAGATTGACAGATGATAAATAGATAGGTAGATAGATAGATGATAGGTGATAAATGATAGATCATCTCCCCAGCATTATTGCATGACATATTTAATGAGATCTTTTCTATTTTACTTTTCCTAGAGGTCTTCCTTTTGAACTTATGAAATGATTATGAAAATACCTGAAAACTAAGAACAGTAGTTGTCAGTGATCATTCTCATACTTCAGCTAACAACATTTTAATATCCTACTGCTCTGTAGGAATTGTCAGCAGTTTCCCCAGCACTTCAGACAGAAACAAGCAAGTCAAAGATATTCTTAAATCTGACCTATTTGCAGCGCTGTCCACAGTATTCGACCTTGGATGTGGGGTGGAGCACTTCTAGCTGCGTCCCTATGTGTCACAGACCATGAACCTGTAGTGCCGTACACTGTGGTTTGCTTGAGGGCATACAGCGCCCTGGCCCGGGGCTGGAGCCACATGCCCGGCTGTCTTTATATACAGATGGGCGTCCTTGGGATCACCTTCTAGGCTCCCCTGGGTACCTAAGCATTTGTTGAGCTGGGTGCTAAGTGCCAAGAACATAGAGGTGTCTAGAGGAGGGTCTGTGTGTCCAGGCAATCATAGTCCAAGCAGGTGACACCAGGCTACTTAAGGACCACAGCATGAACACAGCTTTATGTCATACATGGCAGGTTTTGCCGCTGCCTTCTGAGAAATCCACATGGATGAGGCGACGTAACTACTGGGTTGCTGTGGCCAGCCTCCTCACCATCTGGGAAGGCTATGACATCCTGCAGCCCGTGGCAATGCCATGGCATTGTCTCCTGCCATCCCTTCACAAATCACCATAACTTTCGTATTCATTTTGAATATATGTTCTACTTAATCATGAGGGTACCAAGGGAATTTTGGTAACTGGGTCACATAAGAGAATATTTCTCCAGTTTCCTCATTTATATTTGAGGGAAAGAGGAAAAGGAGGTAGGGAGGGAAGCAAGAAGATAGGGAAGCAGGAAGGAAGGGAGGAAAGACTTGCTTGCCCCCATGACGTTTGGGGTTCCAGTGAGGGACTCAGAGGGAGGGCCCCCAGGCTGGCACACACTCGTCCAACCAGGGTGTGAGCACATCTGCTTGTAAAGATAAACAAGGTTCTTCTCTCATCTCAAGGACTTCAGTCTGGTTGATCCGTCTGGGGGTGGGACAGGCGTGTCAACCAAATTACGCTGCAATGTGATAAATGTTTCAACAGACGGGCAAACACCACATGGTGCCGGTTGGCAGATGGACTGCTCAGCCCTGATGGCAAGAGGTGATGTTTGGGAAGTTCTCATGAGAAGAATGCCTGAACAGGGTGTTCGAAGACAAAACAAAGTATTCGTTACAGGTGAGCAAGAAAAACGCAATTCTAATTAATTTTTATCGTCACCCTAGGTCACTGGCTCGGGATGACCAAATCTCTTAAAAGAGTCCTTCTTAAACGTTAATATGCATTGTACAGACACCTTGTTATATGTTGATGCTGATTCAGTAGGTCTGGGGTGGGGTCCTGGAGGCACTGACGTAAAGGCTGAGCAAAACCTCTAGGTGCCCACACCCTTGTCAAGTTCTGGGTGCCGTGGTGAGCAAGACCAAGATGGTCTCTGCCCTCACGGGACCGAGTCTGGGGACAGTAAAGGAAAGAACAAAGCCCCATGTTGTCTCAGTTTGACCCCGGAATCTTCCTCCACACCTGCACTCGTTTTCATTCTCTTTTTTGGGCATTGTCTCTAAATGCTCTCGGCTCTGCACGTCTCCCTCCATTCTGCTCCGTGAAAATGGACAGCACTGCGATTGCAGCTTTCCTGCGTGTCCTGTAAAAATAGTCCAGCTTTGATATGGTTTTAATTCAGGGGGTGCTTGAAAGGTGCTCTGGGAACAAGCGAGCACAATCAAAATGTCATCTGCTCCTCAAATGTTTACCGCACTCCTGCTGTTACTCTCGGATACAGGCGATTCAGTGTGGTCTCTGACCTGACGTCACTCACAGGAAAATTGGCAAAGACACCAAATGTCATGGGATGTGTGTGTGCTATGCTTGCTGTGGGCATAGGGTCCACAGGGTCTAAGAGGAAAGGAGGATTATTTCCGGGGGCTCAATGTGGAAGCTGAGGATGGAGGGGTGGTTCCAGAAACTCGTGGCCCACCCCAGCCAGACCGGGCTTCCTTCTGCTCCTTGAACATGAGCTGAAGAATGAAGAGAAACATGAACAAGGCCTTCCCTCCTGCATTCACTCAGGCAGCCCCATCCACCGGGAAACTGCTCCCCATCCTGCCCTCTCCTCTATTTAACGCCGACTTTTCTTCTGAGTCTTCCTTCTGTGACTTCCTGCAGTGTTCAAGGTGACCAGCCATTTCCTGGGGCATGAGACTTTCTGAAATAAGGAGGGTCCAGGCCCACAGGGATGGTCGGTCATTCTACACGTGGTTCCTCTTCACAGCATTCAGGGAATTGCCTGCCCCGTATCTCTGTCCTCGCTGCAGAGAGCCAGCGGGTCTGGGGGGCCAGCCCTGGCACGGGCCCTGCGGACTCTCTCAGTCTGCACATGGCCCACACTCGTGAACGCATGCATGGCACCCTCTTGGAAAAGGAGCTGGTGTTTGCAGGTAGACAGGGAAGAGATGGAGCTCTGGCTTTGGAGAGCGGCACGTGTAAAGCTTCGGGGGTCCGAGGAGGGAAGGCCACCTTCCACCACTTCCGGGATGTGAGGGGGCTGAGGTTGCCCTTCCCCAGAGGAAGCCAGGAAAGGAGAAAGATGCCAGAACAAGAAGGGCTTTGGATAAGCCGGACCAGGGGGTTCAGACTTGTTTCAGCAGACTGTATCGAAATATTGGGTCATTTCAAGCAGGAAGTTAGACTGGAGGGTTTTAAGAGGCCCTGATGGCACTGTGTCAGGAGGCCCTGCAGCTAAGCCTGCAGCAGTGGGTCGTGGAGGGGACGGGGGAGCATTCAGGAATGACTAGGAGGCTACTCCGTGCTCAACCTTAGGTATGGGAGGGTTGGCCAAGGGGGGGAGGAGGGCACCCGGACTGCCCCCTGACAAGTCGAGAACACAGGTGAGGACCAGGCTTTGAGGGGGAGTGAAGGCCAATGGCTTGGAGCGTCTTGGGCGCCAGCAGGCAGGCAGGTACCTGGCACACGGTTGGCTCTGTGGGTTTGGGGCTTGGGTTAGAGTTCCAGCCCAGAGGGGTGTTTGCCTGTCATCAGCTGTCGAGGTTAATGAAAGGCCAGGAGTAGAGGAAACTGCCCAGGGAGACCACGCGGAGGGGGAAGAGGAGGATCCATTCAAGGCTCCAGACAGTCAGGGGTCGCGGAAGGGAGGGCAAGGAGGAGGGCCGGACGTGCTGCGGAGCCAGCGGAGGGAGGGCGTTCCAAAGGGCAATGTTTCCGGTTCCGTGTGATCCAGCTTAAAATGCCCAGCACGATGTTGAAGGACAGGAGGGAGTTGGGGGTGCGGGGGTGGCGCTCCAGCAGGTGGCACAGTGGAGGCAGGGGCGCTATGATTTACCACCTCCACTGATCTTCCTGCAGCCACAGTGGACCCGGGGAGACCCGGAGCCGAAGCCCGCTCCTGGCAGGGTCGCCCGTGCGGAGTTGTTTCTCTGTCCCAAATGGTTGTACCGTGAGATGACATCACTTCTAAGCAAAAGCAGCAGGAGGGGCTCCCACTGAGCGGGCCAGCTTTTCCTCCCACTGGTCTGCTCACGTAGCCACCCGCCGGGCTCACCAACCTTCCCAACCATGGGTGCCCGGACCGGACCCCATGGCGCTGAGGCTGCTCCTGGCTCTCATCGTCTCTGAGGCTGTGACCTTGATTCTGGGGTGGGCCACCCTGCTGGGGGGCTTTTGTGAAGTTCCTAATAATCCTTATTTCAGGGCCCGCTCAGGGTGCTCACTCAGCAAGTACCTACTGAGCTCTGTTTTGTTCCACTCCGGCACAGAGGCGGACAAAGAGACGGGCCCTGGCCTGCAGGTGCCATGGGGGTGCACGTGCAACAGATAAGCACACATCAGTAATCAGGTGTGACCCAGGCTAGGCCTGGAGCACAGAGCGAGTGAGCAGCCGCCAGGTGCAGTGGGCTGGGCTCCCTGGGGCCTCCCGGCCGGCAGAGGGCAGGCTCGACGCTGAGCGGAAGGTGTCTCTGCTGGGGCTGCTGTAACCCAGTGCGGCAGCCTGCGGGCTTGAACAGCTGCGGTGTGGCTCTCCCACAGGAGAGACTGGAAGCCTGAGATCAGGGTGCCAGCAGGGGCCGGTTCCTGGTGAAGGCCCTCTCCCTGTCTGCAGGTGGCTGTCATCTGGCTATGTCCTCACCTGGCAGAGGGCAGAGAGAGGAAGCGGGCTCTGTTGTGTCCCTTCTGGGGGCCTCATCTTGACCAAATCAACGTCCAGGGCCCCACCTCCCCACAACCTCACACTGGAGGTTAGGCTTCAACATAGGAATCTTGGAGGCACCCAGACAGTCAGTCCATTCAGAAGGGGAAACCTCAAGGGGTGATGGGAGGGGAAGGGCATGGTCCAGTTTACATTTATAGAAATATATCAGGATTGCTCTTTTACACAGTGCTCATTTTCTACATTTTATGATGCCTTACACAATTTTGGAGAGTTGTGCTAAGAACTTTGCCATATTACTTTGATAAATGGATAGGAACCATGGACAGATGTGACAAATCATTTGAAATATCAGCCAAAGATAGAACAACCATTAGGTAAGTGCTTTTTTAAAAAAAATATTATCATTTCAAAAGTCATTGCTGCCAAATTTCCCTGATGGGCTAATTTGTCTGATGGTGAAAGGTGGTGTAGACAGTAATGTCAAATGAGTTGGAAGCTTGAGACATCAGGAATCACTTTTGACCTTCAAAGAACACATCTTGGCTGACTGGATGGCTACTGGGGGGGCCTGTGCATGAGAAGGGCAGCTTTAGACTGGTTCCTGTGACCTTCCTATGACCTTGCTTCTGTGACCAGCTGGGACATTGGAGAAGAATAGACCAAGTGAGGGGTCAGCTTGCTGGGGTATCAGAGAGGGAGGGGAAGGGCTATGTAAGCAGGTAGTGAGTGCCAAGGTGTCCAGACAACAGGAGCCAATAGTCCATGTGCTGGGCCCTCAGTAAGCCTTGAGTCGTGGGCAGTGAAGTGGCCTCCGTTCTCTGTGCTGGTGGCCAGACCCAACAAGCTCAGCTTAAGGCCCTGTTGGACACATGGATACTGTGTCAGAGTGTGTAGATCACCTGGACTGTGAGGGCACTGGCACATTTCGAGGCTCCAGACACATTTAAGGCACAGTTATCATGGCGAATGTAAAACTGTAAGCATGAAAACTAAGGCCGTGTCTATAAAATGCTCAAATACTGAGTTGATCCAATCAATGCAAAGCCACCAGGTTCATGAGGAAAAATTCAATCAGAGTTCTTCTGCGGTCCTTTAAGCAGGACGGGCCTTCTGGTAAATGCAACACGAGGATGCAGAGGAAGCCAGGGGGCTGGAGCACGGCTTTGGTCAGCTGGGTGCCTGCAGGCAGGCCTTCTGCCTGACCAGCGGGTGGCCATCTCCGCTGAGGCCCTGCCAGCCTCCTCTGTTAGTGAGACCTTTGGTCTTGACCCAGCACCTAGGGTGCAGCCCTTCCCAGCCATACTCAGCAGCAGAAAGCCATGGAGGTGCTCCCAGCAGCAGGAGGGTGCACCCGTCAGCGGATCGAAGCGGCTTGTCCCTGACTGCACTTAGGTGAGCCTGTGATCCGCTGACCAGCTCTGACTCCCATGTTTGATCCTGGCCAGCTCTACTGACCAGGACACATCCGTCTGCAATTCTGCTGGAGTCTTAGACAAAACTATCGGGTTGCAAGAGGCAGAAATCCATTCCAGCTAAGAGAAAAGGGTGTTTACCTTGGGAGTACGGAAGACTCTTAGGGGGCCTAATGGTGGGAACAGGAAGTCACTCGCCCTTGTAGCGCTGGCCCACCCACCGGCCTCTGCCTCTCTCTGCTGTTCCTGTGTCTATCTGTCTATCTATCCATCACCTACCTACCTACCTACCTATTCCACTATCCTCTCTCAAGCTGACTTCCTCTACCAGCCTCCTGTGAAACGTGCTTGCGCAGCTCCGTCCAGGCTCTGCCTTAGCAATGCCAGGTGCTAACTCTCGACCCCAGCACTCTATGAATCAGTTGTTACTGAAGTGAAATCCATATAAGATAAAGTTAACCACTTCAAAGTGTACAATTCAGTGGCACTTAGTACATTCACAATGTGTGCAACCACCATCTCTTTCTGATTTCAGAACAGTCTCACCACCTCAAAAAAAAAATCCCATATTCATTGCTGTAGATTAAATGTGTGTGCCACCCCCAAATTCATATGTTGAACCAGATGTGCCATGTGATGGTATTTGGAGGTGGAGACTGTGGGAGGGGAATAGGTTGTGGGGGTGGAGCCCTCATGAATGGGATCAGTGCCCTTACAAGAGAGACCCCACAGAGTGGCCTGCCTCTCTGCAGTGAGGACACCATGATCAGAGAGCTTTCTATGAGGTGATCTTGGACTTCCCAGCCTCCACAGAGCTGTGAGAAATAATGTTTGATGTTTATAAGCCACCAGTTCATGCTCTTTGTTGTAGCAGCCTGAACAAGCTTAGACGCCCATTAACCAGTCACTCCCCCTGTACCCCTTACCCCAGCCCCTGGAAATCACCGGTCTGTTTTCTGCCTCTGTGGATTTGCCTATTCTGGAAATTTGATATAAATGGAATCATGCGCTCTTGTGACTGGCTTCTTTCATTCAGCGTAATGTTTTCTGGTTCATCTGTGTGCAGGCATGTATCGATACTTCATTCCTCGCTGTGGCTGAACAATATCCCATTGTATGTGAAGACCAGGTTTTGTTTATTCATCCATCTGTAGTTGGAAACTTGGGTTGTTTCCACTTTGGGCTGTTGAGAACAATGCTGCTGTGAACATGCACATGTTTGAGTATATGCTTCAGTTCATTTGAGCATATACCCAGGAGGAAACTGCTGGATCCTCTGGTAGGTGGGGATCTAACTTATTGAGGATCCAAGTGAATTTATACCTCTAGTGATCCCCACCACATGCCAGCTTGTTTCCATGTCTCGGTTCCAAATTCCCTGGACAGGAAATCCACCTGGCCCAGTGGGGTCCCCTGGTCTAATGGCCTTGCAGGGAGGGACGGTGGGGGTGCAGGTGGGACTGGGGGATGGTGGGGACACAGGCTGGAGGAGCTGCTTTTGCAGCACCACAGCAGAGACATTCTGTAGGAAGCAAAGTAAGAAGTAACCGGAGATGTATTTTTTCCTTTTCTTGAAGTATCCCTGGTGTACAATCTTAGATTAGTTTCAAATATGCAACACAGTGGTTCAGCTGTTCCCCCATGTCATTAAATCCTCACCCCTTCTAGTGCTACTGTCTGTCAACACAGGAAGATGTCACAGAATCAGGAGCTATATTCTCCATGCTGTACGACTATCCCCTTGACCAACTTGGGTTATGACTGAGATTTTTTGTGCCCCTTTATCCCCCTCATCCTCTCCACCCAACCCCCAGCCCCTTCCCCAGGGTAACCGCAGTTCCTTCTCGGTGTCTCTGAGTCTTCTGCTGTTTTGTTCATTCTGTTTTGCTTTGTTTTTAGATGACACGTATCAGTGAAATCATATGGTACTTGTCTCTCTCTGCCTGGCTTATTTCACTGAGCATAACACCTTCTAGGTCCATCTATGTTGTTACAAGTGGCAGGATTTCTTTATTTTTTAATTTTTTAATGGAACCAGCAGACATCTTCAGCCCTACAAAGAACACCAGGAGCTGCTGGTGGTCTTTGGAATGCAGTTCCCCACCTTTGACTCTTGGGAGTCGGTTGTAATTTTTAAACACCTGCTTTCACAATTCACTCTGTCACCAAATTTTACATGATCGTTTCTAAAATACCATAAGAAGTTGTATCATTACCATAGTAATCTGGCTGAGTGACCATTTTCCATATCATTCAGAACGAACAAGACAAAACACTCAGCAATTTTATGGGAAATTGCTTTCTGCATTGTATGCCTGTAAATAGGCAACATTAATAATGCACCGCGGAGGCCCACACATTACACAGGATGGGAGCCGCATCTTCTTGCAGCTGGGTGCAATGAATAATTAATTTCTTTGCCAATACCAAAAGGTATATTCAGCTATTAAAATACATTGACATTTTCATTCATGACAGACACCCACTCTGTGTTGGAATAATAAAACCAAATTATTTTTTCTCAGCAACAGGAGGATTTCCACATATGTCAGAGTGGGGAAAAAAAACGCAAGCTGCTTTACACAGTAAATCAGTTGTAATTATTTTTAAACTGTTCCAAGTATGCGGTTCAATCTGGAGTATGAGAAAGGCTCAATCATTTGACAAATGCTAAGGAAAAACAATCCTTAGTGTTCTGTAAGTCAGCAGTTTGTTTGACATATTAGATAAGAAATGAAAACGTATCATTAACATGATAAAAAAATAACTATTCTCTAAAAACCCTTCATAATAGTAACTTAAAGGTCAGTCACAACCATGCAACGGTGTATCTTTTTTTGGAAATACATGTTGAAGAGAATGATGTCCCCCAGGCATTTTGAAGGCTCTGAGCCTATGATTCATAACATTATATTTTATAGAAAGCCTTGCTTCCCTCTAAGTCCTTGAGTTATTTCCAATTTTTTATTCCATTATAAATATTATGCCCGTGACCACTGTGTGCAGTAATTTTTGTGTTTTTAAATAATTTCTTAGGTTAGATTTCTAGACATTGAATTAGAAGTTCAAAAGGCATAGGCATGTCAAATGCCAAATTAGTTTCAAGAAATGCTGGAACAATTCATAACCAACCAATGGATCCGAAAGTGTCCATTTTAACAAACTCTCCTAGTTGGCATTTTCAATTTTTAAAAATCATGCATGGCTAGCACATAGATTGTACTTTATTATTGTTTATATGATCGTTTATAACTGCACATTATCACTGTTCAGCTTACTCTTCTTTGGTTATTAATAAAGCTATGCATTTGTTCAAGTATTTATTGGTCGCGTAGATGTCACAGTTTGTATATTCTCGACCATGCATTTGTCCATCTTATTGAAGTTTTAGTACCTTTCTATTGATGGGTATGAGATATGTAAATATCCATGATACTTCATATTTTTCATATTTGTTTGAAATAGTTTTCAAAATTAGAAGTCTGGTTTTTAGTTCTATTTATGATATGCTTTGATATATACTACTTAAATTGTGATGGATTCAACTGTATCAATCACTGTCTTTGAAACAACATGGGCTTAAGGAATACATTTAATGTGCACTTCTAAGTTGTTAGCATGTAGACTTGTTAAGCGCATATTTCTCTAACCTAACTGGAATTATTAGGTCTAGACCCTAAGCTACCATTTTAACAAATCTTTACAAGCCATTCAATGAATGAGGACTCCATTTCTACCTCATCCAAAATTCCTTCTTCCGAAGAGATCACATGTTCTCATGTAGTGAAGTTGCTTTGTGGGCTATCTAATATACTATGTTGATTTATTTGTCCATGCCAAGCTCCATTTATTACTGTATCTCTATTCTGGGTTTTAATGGAAAAGAGAAAAGCATCCCCTGACATCAGGGAGGGACCCCGCACTCAAGGCCAGCCCTGGGGCTTCTCCCCTGGAGAGGCCAACATCAGACAAAGCCTCTCGGTGACAGAGCAAAATCCAGAGCACCCCACATGCTGTCTGACCATAGACAAAAAGAAGGGCATCATCCAAACCGCAGAAATGGCAAGCCCGCCTCCATCCTGGCTAACAGGAGCGACTGCCATCTCTGCCATCTAGGGAGTCCGCCTCACTCTCGCGTGATGTCTAAACGCGATCCACTGTGATATCCGATCATAGAAACGTCCCTGCTCCCCGACAATGATCAATTCAGAGCATTTAGCTGGGAAGAAGTTAGACTAAACTGAACTGTGTTTTAAACTTAATTTGATTCAAGCTCTGAAAGAATCACTTTGGGAAGTGCCCAGTGTTTGGGGATAAATTCTGTTGTTTCCTTCCTGAGTCCCTTTCAACTCTGAGACCTCAGGGCGCCCCCTGGTGGTGGAGGAAAAGTTCTTAGGTCCAACCAGAGGCCAGGTGGGTCTGGTGCCCCTCGGGTATGGCTGGCTGACTGGTCCCCGCCCTGGGTGTTCTGCTGGCTTAGAAGCTGAAGGATTCATGCTCTGTTCTCTGTCCGCTCCTCAGGGCCCTGCTTGGTCCACGCGGCCTCGCCTTGGCTCTGGAAGGCCTGTTGNATTTAAGAAGTAAATTTTCAAATCATGTCTTCAACCAAAAGGCCCACTTGTCTTCTTCTGCATGTACCAACTACTAGAGAATCGTAATGAAGTATTAGTGAGTTAAGTGCAGAGATACACTGTAAACATGATTGCTGTGAAAATGCATAATAAAGCAGTAGACCTCAAATATTGTGCATTATCACCTGGGGAACTTGCTAAAACTATCTCAGGCTTCATCCAAACACCCCAAATCAGAATCTGTCCGAGAAGTCAACAAACAGGGTTGTCATGTCCCATTGTGAAGTTTGTGCATTGTGCAAAGGCACCTGGCTGGGGAGACGAATAGGGACCGAAATCTAGGCTGTGCTCAGCTTGCCCACCATGTGCCCTGGCTCAGGGCTGAGTCAACCAGAAGAAGGGACATTTCTGGAGATTTGTAACACATACGAAGATTTTGTGTGTGCTGACACCTCACACAGGATTGTGTTTAAAAAAAAAACAACTACCCAACTAATTTGGAATATAACTAGGTTTGGGCACCTTTTGGGCTATAGAGCATACTCAAATTAATTGGACTAGTTAGAAAAGGACATTTGGGGGACATTCTGATAGGTGGATAAATAGATGATAGATGGACAGATTGACAGATGATAAATAGATAGGTAGATAGATAGATGATAGGTGATAAATGATAGATCATCTCCCCAGCATTATTGCATGACATATTTAATGAGATCTTTTCTATTTTACTTTTCCTAGAGGTCTTCCTTTTGAACTTATGAAATGATTATGAAAATACCTGAAAACTAAGAACAGTAGTTGTCAGTGATCATTCTCATACTTCAGCTAACAACATTTTAATATCCTACTGCTCTGTAGGAATTGTCAGCAGTTTCCCCAGCACTTCAGACAGAAACAAGCAAGTCAAAGATATTCTTAAATCTGACCTATTTGCAGCGCTGTCCACAGTATTCGACCTTGGATGTGGGGTGGAGCACTTCTAGCTGCGTCCCTATGTGTCACAGACCATGAACCTGTAGTGCCGTACACTGTGGTTTGCTTGAGGGCATACAGCGCCCTGGCCCGGGGCTGGAGCCACATGCCCGGCTGTCTTTATATACAGATGGGCGTCCTTGGGATCACCTTCTAGGCTCCCCTGGGTACCTAAGCATTTGTTGAGCTGGGTGCTAAGTGCCAAGAACATAGAGGTGTCTAGAGGAGGGTCTGTGTGTCCAGGCAATCATAGTCCAAGCAGGTGACACCAGGCTACTTAAGGACCACAGCATGAACACAGCTTTATGTCATACATGGCAGGTTTTGCCGCTGCCTTCTGAGAAATCCACATGGATGAGGCGACGTAACTACTGGGTTGCTGTGGCCAGCCTCCTCACCATCTGGGAAGGCTATGACATCCTGCAGCCCGTGGCAATGCCATGGCATTGTCTCCTGCCATCCCTTCACAAATCACCATAACTTTCGTATTCATTTTGAATATATGTTCTACTTAATCATGAGGGTACCAAGGGAATTTTGGTAACTGGGTCACATAAGAGAATATTTCTCCAGTTTCCTCATTTATATTTGAGGGAAAGAGGAAAAGGAGGTAGGGAGGGAAGCAAGAAGATAGGGAAGCAGGAAGGAAGGGAGGAAAGACTTGCTTGCCCCCATGACGTTTGGGGTTCCAGTGAGGGACTCAGAGGGAGGGCCCCCAGGCTGGCACACACTCGTCCAACCAGGGTGTGAGCACATCTGCTTGTAAAGATAAACAAGGTTCTTCTCTCATCTCAAGGACTTCAGTCTGGTTGATCCGTCTGGGGGTGGGACAGGCGTGTCAACCAAATTACGCTGCAATGTGATAAATGTTTCAACAGACGGGCAAACACCACATGGTGCCGGTTGGCAGATGGACTGCTCAGCCCTGATGGCAAGAGGTGATGTTTGGGAAGTTCTCATGAGAAGAATGCCTGAACAGGGTGTTCGAAGACAAAACAAAGTATTCGTTACAGGTGAGCAAGAAAAACGCAATTCTAATTAATTTTTATCGTCACCCTAGGTCACTGGCTCGGGATGACCAAATCTCTTAAAAGAGTCCTTCTTAAACGTTAATATGCATTGTACAGACACCTTGTTATATGTTGATGCTGATTCAGTAGGTCTGGGGTGGGGTCCTGGAGGCACTGACGTAAAGGCTGAGCAAAACCTCTAGGTGCCCACACCCTTGTCAAGTTCTGGGTGCCGTGGTGAGCAAGACCAAGATGGTCTCTGCCCTCACGGGACCGAGTCTGGGGACAGTAAAGGAAAGAACAAAGCCCCATGTTGTCTCAGTTTGACCCCGGAATCTTCCTCCACACCTGCACTCGTTTTCATTCTCTTTTTTGGGCATTGTCTCTAAATGCTCTCGGCTCTGCACGTCTCCCTCCATTCTGCTCCGTGAAAATGGACAGCACTGCGATTGCAGCTTTCCTGCGTGTCCTGTAAAAATAGTCCAGCTTTGATATGGTTTTAATTCAGGGGGTGCTTGAAAGGTGCTCTGGGAACAAGCGAGCACAATCAAAATGTCATCTGCTCCTCAAATGTTTACCGCACTCCTGCTGTTACTCTCGGATACAGGCGATTCAGTGTGGTCTCTGACCTGACGTCACTCACAGGAAAATTGGCAAAGACACCAAATGTCATGGGATGTGTGTGTGCTATGCTTGCTGTGGGCATAGGGTCCACAGGGTCTAAGAGGAAAGGAGGATTATTTCCGGGGGCTCAATGTGGAAGCTGAGGATGGAGGGGTGGTTCCAGAAACTCGTGGCCCACCCCAGCCAGACCGGGCTTCCTTCTGCTCCTTGAACATGAGCTGAAGAATGAAGAGAAACATGAACAAGGCCTTCCCTCCTGCATTCACTCAGGCAGCCCCATCCACCGGGAAACTGCTCCCCATCCTGCCCTCTCCTCTATTTAACGCCGACTTTTCTTCTGAGTCTTCCTTCTGTGACTTCCTGCAGTGTTCAAGGTGACCAGCCATTTCCTGGGGCATGAGACTTTCTGAAATAAGGAGGGTCCAGGCCCACAGGGATGGTCGGTCATTCTACACGTGGTTCCTCTTCACAGCATTCAGGGAATTGCCTGCCCCGTATCTCTGTCCTCGCTGCAGAGAGCCAGCGGGTCTGGGGGGCCAGCCCTGGCACGGGCCCTGCGGACTCTCTCAGTCTGCACATGGCCCACACTCGTGAACGCATGCATGGCACCCTCTTGGAAAAGGAGCTGGTGTTTGCAGGTAGACAGGGAAGAGATGGAGCTCTGGCTTTGGAGAGCGGCACGTGTAAAGCTTCGGGGGTCCGAGGAGGGAAGGCCACCTTCCACCACTTCCGGGATGTGAGGGGGCTGAGGTTGCCCTTCCCCAGAGGAAGCCAGGAAAGGAGAAAGATGCCAGAACAAGAAGGGCTTTGGATAAGCCGGACCAGGGGGTTCAGACTTGTTTCAGCAGACTGTATCGAAATATTGGGTCATTTCAAGCAGGAAGTTAGACTGGAGGGTTTTAAGAGGCCCTGATGGCACTGTGTCAGGAGGCCCTGCAGCTAAGCCTGCAGCAGTGGGTCGTGGAGGGGACGGGGGAGCATTCAGGAATGACTAGGAGGCTACTCCGTGCTCAACCTTAGGTATGGGAGGGTTGGCCAAGGGGGGGAGGAGGGCACCCGGACTGCCCCCTGACAAGTCGAGAACACAGGTGAGGACCAGGCTTTGAGGGGGAGTGAAGGCCAATGGCTTGGAGCGTCTTGGGCGCCAGCAGGCAGGCAGGTACCTGGCACACGGTTGGCTCTGTGGGTTTGGGGCTTGGGTTAGAGTTCCAGCCCAGAGGGGTGTTTGCCTGTCATCAGCTGTCGAGGTTAATGAAAGGCCAGGAGTAGAGGAAACTGCCCAGGGAGACCACGCGGAGGGGGAAGAGGAGGATCCATTCAAGGCTCCAGACAGTCAGGGGTCGCGGAAGGGAGGGCAAGGAGGAGGGCCGGACGTGCTGCGGAGCCAGCGGAGGGAGGGCGTTCCAAAGGGCAATGTTTCCGGTTCCGTGTGATCCAGCTTAAAATGCCCAGCACGATGTTGAAGGACAGGAGGGAGTTGGGGGTGCGGGGGTGGCGCTCCAGCAGGTGGCACAGTGGAGGCAGGGGCGCTATGATTTACCACCTCCACTGATCTTCCTGCAGCCACAGTGGACCCGGGGAGACCCGGAGCCGAAGCCCGCTCCTGGCAGGGTCGCCCGTGCGGAGTTGTTTCTCTGTCCCAAATGGTTGTACCGTGAGATGACATCACTTCTAAGCAAAAGCAGCAGGAGGGGCTCCCACTGAGCGGGCCAGCTTTTCCTCCCACTGGTCTGCTCACGTAGCCACCCGCCGGGCTCACCAACCTTCCCAACCATGGGTGCCCGGACCGGACCCCATGGCGCTGAGGCTGCTCCTGGCTCTCATCGTCTCTGAGGCTGTGACCTTGATTCTGGGGTGGGCCACCCTGCTGGGGGGCTTTTGTGAAGTTCCTAATAATCCTTATTTCAGGGCCCGCTCAGGGTGCTCACTCAGCAAGTACCTACTGAGCTCTGTTTTGTTCCACTCCGGCACAGAGGCGGACAAAGAGACGGGCCCTGGCCTGCAGGTGCCATGGGGGTGCACGTGCAACAGATAAGCACACATCAGTAATCAGGTGTGACCCAGGCTAGGCCTGGAGCACAGAGCGAGTGAGCAGCCGCCAGGTGCAGTGGGCTGGGCTCCCTGGGGCCTCCCGGCCGGCAGAGGGCAGGCTCGACGCTGAGCGGAAGGTGTCTCTGCTGGGGCTGCTGTAACCCAGTGCGGCAGCCTGCGGGCTTGAACAGCTGCGGTGTGGCTCTCCCACAGGAGAGACTGGAAGCCTGAGATCAGGGTGCCAGCAGGGGCCGGTTCCTGGTGAAGGCCCTCTCCCTGTCTGCAGGTGGCTGTCATCTGGCTATGTCCTCACCTGGCAGAGGGCAGAGAGAGGAAGCGGGCTCTGTTGTGTCCCTTCTGGGGGCCTCATCTTGACCAAATCAACGTCCAGGGCCCCACCTCCCCACAACCTCACACTGGAGGTTAGGCTTCAACATAGGAATCTTGGAGGCACCCAGACAGTCAGTCCATTCAGAAGGGGAAACCTCAAGGGGTGATGGGAGGGGAAGGGCATGGTCCAGTTTACATTTATAGAAATATATCAGGATTGCTCTTTTACACAGTGCTCATTTTCTACATTTTATGATGCCTTACACAATTTTGGAGAGTTGTGCTAAGAACTTTGCCATATTACTTTGATAAATGGATAGGAACCATGGACAGATGTGACAAATCATTTGAAATATCAGCCAAAGATAGAACAACCATTAGGTAAGTGCTTTTTTAAAAAAAATATTATCATTTCAAAAGTCATTGCTGCCAAATTTCCCTGATGGGCTAATTTGTCTGATGGTGAAAGGTGGTGTAGACAGTAATGTCAAATGAGTTGGAAGCTTGAGACATCAGGAATCACTTTTGACCTTCAAAGAACACATCTTGGCTGACTGGATGGCTACTGGGGGGGCCTGTGCATGAGAAGGGCAGCTTTAGACTGGTTCCTGTGACCTTCCTATGACCTTGCTTCTGTGACCAGCTGGGACATTGGAGAAGAATAGACCAAGTGAGGGGTCAGCTTGCTGGGGTATCAGAGAGGGAGGGGAAGGGCTATGTAAGCAGGTAGTGAGTGCCAAGGTGTCCAGACAACAGGAGCCAATAGTCCATGTGCTGGGCCCTCAGTAAGCCTTGAGTCGTGGGCAGTGAAGTGGCCTCCGTTCTCTGTGCTGGTGGCCAGACCCAACAAGCTCAGCTTAAGGCCCTGTTGGACACATGGATACTGTGTCAGAGTGTGTAGATCACCTGGACTGTGAGGGCACTGGCACATTTCGAGGCTCCAGACACATTTAAGGCACAGTTATCATGGCGAATGTAAAACTGTAAGCATGAAAACTAAGGCCGTGTCTATAAAATGCTCAAATACTGAGTTGATCCAATCAATGCAAAGCCACCAGGTTCATGAGGAAAAATTCAATCAGAGTTCTTCTGCGGTCCTTTAAGCAGGACGGGCCTTCTGGTAAATGCAACACGAGGATGCAGAGGAAGCCAGGGGGCTGGAGCACGGCTTTGGTCAGCTGGGTGCCTGCAGGCAGGCCTTCTGCCTGACCAGCGGGTGGCCATCTCCGCTGAGGCCCTGCCAGCCTCCTCTGTTAGTGAGACCTTTGGTCTTGACCCAGCACCTAGGGTGCAGCCCTTCCCAGCCATACTCAGCAGCAGAAAGCCATGGAGGTGCTCCCAGCAGCAGGAGGGTGCACCCGTCAGCGGATCGAAGCGGCTTGTCCCTGACTGCACTTAGGTGAGCCTGTGATCCGCTGACCAGCTCTGACTCCCATGTTTGATCCTGGCCAGCTCTACTGACCAGGACACATCCGTCTGCAATTCTGCTGGAGTCTTAGACAAAACTATCGGGTTGCAAGAGGCAGAAATCCATTCCAGCTAAGAGAAAAGGGTGTTTACCTTGGGAGTACGGAAGACTCTTAGGGGGCCTAATGGTGGGAACAGGAAGTCACTCGCCCTTGTAGCGCTGGCCCACCCACCGGCCTCTGCCTCTCTCTGCTGTTCCTGTGTCTATCTGTCTATCTATCCATCACCTACCTACCTACCTACCTATTCCACTATCCTCTCTCAAGCTGACTTCCTCTACCAGCCTCCTGTGAAACGTGCTTGCGCAGCTCCGTCCAGGCTCTGCCTTAGCAATGCCAGGTGCTAACTCTCGACCCCAGCACTCTATGAATCAGTTGTTACTGAAGTGAAATCCATATAAGATAAAGTTAACCACTTCAAAGTGTACAATTCAGTGGCACTTAGTACATTCACAATGTGTGCAACCACCATCTCTTTCTGATTTCAGAACAGTCTCACCACCTCAAAAAAAAAATCCCATATTCATTGCTGTAGATTAAATGTGTGTGCCA